GGGGGGGGGGGGGGGGGGGGAGAAGAACACACTTACGTATGGAAGGATCGGACATGACGACCATCACGTAAGTGTTTGACGTGAAGATGTCAATGAAGGCGGCGAAATTGGAATTCCTGACCTCCATGCTCTGGAAAGAAGCTGCCAACTTACTGGAACGGGGATGGGGGGAGGAGAGGAAGAACACCGACTAACTTGCAGTTCACAGGCAGCCTTTTCCCCCCCTCTGCCTCAAGTCCACTCTGCCCCCGCCCCTGGGTTCAAGCCTTGATTCTGTTTTCCCAGTTCACCCCAGGGAGATGCATCCCTGCTGGGATTCTTACACAAGGAAGGCCAGCACCTTCATTCAGACCAGTCCTGTGGCCCTTGTTCTGCCATGGCCATCAAGGTGAAGAAGCCCAATGTAGACTGGAGACATTGACACACGGTGGGTCGCCTTAAAAAGAAAGCCCAGCCCGCCTCTCCATGGGTACAGGAAGGAATTTCATACGGCTGCTGAATTTGCAAGCGGACTAGGACAGGGGTTGTGCAAGAATGGAGACCGGGAGGCATCTCCCCTATCCACACCCAACTCCTCACATAGCTCTTACCCCCAAGGCTGACTCCCCAACCTGGTGCTCTGTGGCTGTCTTGGATTACAACTCCCATCACCCCTAGCTGGCAAGGCCACTGGATGAGGGACACTTCCCAAGTCAAGCCAAGCCTGGGGCAAAGGAACTTGGGACTCAAAGCTAACGAACAAGAACAAGCTCCTCCCCAGCACAACCCCCACCCTGATTCCTACTCATGCACCTTCTGCTGGTCCAGGTCAGAAGAAGATGGTCCTCAGAGACACTCTTACCTGCAGCTCAGCTTGAACTGTTTGATGATGTTGCTGATCTTCTCAAACCGATGGATGTCACGCTGCTCTTTACACTGATAGTGGGAAATGACCTGTGAGAAGAAACAAGGCCACTAATAAAAGGAGGGCTGGCCTTGGTTCCAGGACCAAGGAGAGCCAAAAAAGCCAACCCTTGGAGGGGGAGCTGGAGAAAGTGGGAAGGTTTAAGGAGTGCTTGTGGATCTTACGGCACTAGAAGGGAATCCTCCACTCCCACCTGGGGAGAAGGGAAGAACCTACCTGGTCTCAGCCCAGCCAAGTCAAGGAGCAGCAAATCTCTGGGAAGGACCCCTTACCCACCGCTGTTTGCGCCCAGGGCAGCGCTGCACCCTCAGCCAGACCCAGGTCTTATGACTGCAGCCTCAGAGGAAACTATGGCTCAAGCACTGGCCCCGATCCGGCTCAGGCCCTTGTCTGTCCCTATTTGCCAAATGGGAGCAATACCCGAAATGGGAGCAACCCTCTGGTTCTCTTTCTGGCTCTCACCAAAAAAGTGGCTCTTTCAAACAGAAGAACCTCATCAGCTTCAATGATCTGAGCAAAATTCCTGAGGTTCATCTCCAGTTGCTGGACGTTGGGAATCAGCTGATAGACGATACTGGACCAAGCCTGCCCAAAGAGAAAACCCCAAAGCAGCTCAGCATTTGCCCCCCCCCACTCAAGGTTTGCCCAAGTATGGCAAAAGCCACAAATCCCAAAAACATCACCTGGCCCCTCCTCCTGCCCCGGAACCACGACAACATCCAAATGGAGGCATCAAATCCTCATTCCTAACTTTATTCCACTGTAATACCAGGTTTCCCTTTGACTGAGAGGAAGAGGCCCAAGATCGCCCAGTAGGGTTCTGGCTTGAGTAGGGATTTGACCCCTAACTGCTAAACCACACGGGCTCTCCGCTGCCAGGAAGGAGCCGCCACCCAGCTGGCTGCCGGGGATGGGAGACGGTATGCAAACCTTGTAGAGAGTTTCATCCCAGATGGATGTTCTGAAGCAGGCACACTCCAGCGGACGGGAGAGGCGCTTCAAGTCCTCTTCCCGCTCTTTGAAAATCTACAAAGGGAAAAAAGTGACACCTTTCAGGGTGGAGACCCCTTTGTCAAAAACCAGAATATCGATAAGGATGGGAGATTTTTGCTGCGGAGGGCAGGGAAATGCGTGCCATGGTCCGAGGACCCCTCCTAGCTAGGCAAGCAGGAGGGGATGCAGGCCAGCCCTGTACCTGGCCAGAAGAGGAGGAGGAAGAGGGGAGGCACCCCCTTGAGGAACCAGGAGAACACTGGCCAGGAAGTGGGTTATGTTTTGCCCTACAGACAATCCTACAAATCCCCAAAATCATCACGGCCTCTCTCCAAAGCACTCGGGGTTCTACAGCTGAGAAATTTACACAAGAGAACAACCCAGATCTTTGAGCCCCGAGCAACTCCTCACCAGATCGCGCTGGTCCTCCTGGACCAGGTCCATCTTGTGTACAAGGCAGAAGATCTTGGCATCGGGGGAGTTCTGGAGGATGGCCTCCAGGCACGACTGGTAGTAATGCATGTCCTTCTCCAGCTCCCGGCTCTCCACGTCAAAGACGTAGATCAGCACCTCCACATTGCGGAAAATGTTATCACGCTGGCTGGTGAAGTAGTTCTCCATGAAGGTGTCCTGTCTGGGAAGGAGGAAGAGAGTGTCGTTCGAGAAATTCCCCTGCGAGACTGCCACTCCTCCAGAACCCTAACTGCTAAACCCCGGCTTGTGGTCTTGAAGCTGCAGTTTGCATTGCCCTCAAATGGACGCCAGGTGGAGACAAGTGAAGGCTGTACCTCTGCTCTTATCTAGGAGTGGGGAACCTTATGTGTTGGGGCCGAATCCCCTTTTGCACAGGTTCTTCCTGAGGCTTTGTTATTGAGGGCAGGTGCTTTAAACAAAAATGCACAAGCATTTCTGGCTTCACTCTTTCACCTTTGGCTCTGCCCATCCCTTCGGCTGAAAGAGATTCTCTGGTGCTTTCCATCCCTGGTCCACTGGGAAGAGTCACTTTTGATGTCACTCACTGTGTTCCTCCCCCTTGAACATTTGAAAGAAAGCACTTCCACAATACCTACCCGCCACAATCCCACAAATTTAACACCAAGTTGCCCAGAAACCGAACATGGGAATGTTCCACGTCAACTGGAAAACAAGAAGACAGGAGAAATCTGGTCACTACTTTGCAAATCCTTGCAAAGATTAGCCTCCCTAGAATGGGGAAGAGTCCGGCATCCCTTTCAGAGAGCTGCAGAACGGCACAATTGGCCAGGCTTTTAATACCTTGATGGAAAGAGGATGGAATCTGCAGACCTTGCTGTCCTGCACCCATTGTTTCAAGAGGGCACCCACCAGAAACAAAACCTTATCCAGCCAGAAAACTCTGTTCCCTGTCCAGTTCTTCCAGTCCCCAAAATATTCTGGGGCTCTAGGAAGAATGGTCAACCCTTGCCACTTTTCCAGAGTCCATGAAAATCTCCAGAAAGCAGACAGAGGAATGCCCAACAGCATGGATCTCTTCTGTTTGCTGTGGCTGGGGTTAAGTTATCTTCACAAAGGAAGCAAAACAAGGACAGAAAGTGTGCAGCCCACCAGAAAGCAGCCGTGAGTTGCACAGCCCTTTGGAAAAGTTGTTAGAATGAAATCTCATAATCCGGTCTCCACGTGAGACCAAACCTACACTCAGAAACATCTTCTGTTTATCAGACAAACTCCATTAGAGTAGGAAAAAAGAAACAACCCAACTGGACCCAGTGCAAGCAAGAGGGGGCTAAGTAGAGGATCCCCCATAAGGAGACACTCCCACCTGCTTGCAGAAGGAAAAATGACTTCACAGACTTGTCATCTTATCCCAACCAATCCAGCTTTCTCTCTGAACTTCAGGAAGGACTCTGGAAGTTAACTTAAATTAGACAGGGTGGGAGGTAAATAAAATGGCCTGACCCTTTCAAACGGACAGTTGAAGGACCCGAAGGTAGATACCAGCTGTGATTCTTACTTGTTGCTCCAAGGCGCCGTGTGTCTCGTGCAATATAGTTTGCAAAAATAATGGATCTCATGCTGGTCTTGCCAGACCCGCTTTTCCCCATCAAGAGCACCTGGTTAGCCGGGGAAAAAGAACACAAGCTGAAGAATCAGAGTGGGATATTTCTCAGCAGTGCAGGTCTGCGTTTTTGAACGACTGCACCCAGACTACAACGATGATGATTAGGCAACAGAGATATCAAAGGGCCTGGAAGACCAGAAAAGGTGTGTCTGAAGGAGAGGGCCACAGTCCATAAAAGCCTAGGGTAGGAAGGCTCTGTTCAAATGCCACACAACTGCTTGCCATTTCTGTGGTAGTAGACGACAGATACATACAGCCACCTGCCTGAAAGATTTTGCGATAGTCTAGAAAAGAAAAGGAACTTAGCTGGGAGCAGCCATTGAAAGCCCCCACAAAATGAAACCTTCCCCCAGATTATCCAAAGGTGAGGCAGAGGGCCCGGCCCTGCTTCTTACCTTCTTCTTCATGGCTGTGTTCGGCATCCCAATCCTGCAGAAAGAACGAAAGAGAGAGGGAGAGCAAGACACAACAGGCCAGCTATCAGTCACAAGACTTTGCCTCTTTCCACCCACAGTGGTTTGGCAGCCAAGGCGCCCTTCCTCTCTGCCAGCGGAGGACAGCCCAGCCCTTCCCCTCCCACACCAGGCAACACAGCATAGGAAAGGGAAGTCCTTCTCAGCAGTCCCCTTATGAGAGACCTGCCAGCACATCCCATGATGGCCTGAATGCCCCCGTTGGTGCCACAGAGATTTCTTGAAGGCACAGGAAGACGACAGGCCCGTTTCCCATTATACATGCATTTGTCCACTCCGAGTACAGAGCCACAAAGCAGTCATACTTTTTTAGCCTGCCTTCCCGCAGCTTCAATGCACGACTGAAGCGCAGATAAAAGTTATAGAAAACAGACTAAGAAACCAACAGGAATCAAGAGTTTTGTAGCATCTTAGAAGCCAACACTATTTTATTTCATGGACTGCAATGAAGGCCATGGGCTGCAATTCACAAAAGCTAATGCCACATCACGCTACTTAGTCTTTAAGATGCCACAGGATGCTTGGTTTCATGGCCAACCGAGCACTGCAACCACTCCACCCCCTGGAAATGGAAGCAAAAGGCCAAGACTTGAAAATACACCTCTGAACTTCAAGCTGGCTCCCTCCGTCCACCTGTTCCCTCCCTCCCTCCTGTGTTTCCAAGGGCTTGCAGCCCCCCCCCAAGCTCTGGCACCCCTTCCAGGCCATCCCAAGGGCTCACAGAAGGCAGCCCTCCTGCAATGACTCCCAAGCTGAACCCCCAAATGTTGCCTCAACGCCAGGACCTACCTTATAAGTAAGACACACCTTGACAGGAGGGAGAGGGCAGCCCCTTTGCCAGGAAGGCCAGCCTGAGGCAAACCCCCCCCCAGTCCCACCTGTCTGCAGGCCCAGGGGGACGACAATGTCCAGAATCCCCCAGCCAGCATCCTGGGAGTGGTCGTCCCCAAGACCAGCAACCTGCTTTCCGAGCTCTGTCCCGGGCAA